ATGGCTGGCTGGGGAATTCTGGGAGTTGAAGTCCACTCATCTTAAAGTGGCCAAGTTTGGACAACACTGCACTAGGCTATGCTAAAATGTGACAGGGCATCTGGAAGTTCAGTGTGATGTGGAACACCTCCGCCATTTCCTAGGAGGTTGTGCGAACCATGCCAAGTACAGTTGGCTTGGACATAGGGTGTTCTGGGAGCTAACAGTTGTGTTTCATAACCAAATTTAAGCTCAAATATGTTGTGTGAACACAGCCTGTGTGTGCTTCAGCTTCAGAGATCTACAAAAAGCAGTGCAACCCTGGTCCCCGTCATTAGTAGGACTGCATTAAATGCCCAGTTCATAAATGCCTCTCCCCTCCCCGTTGCCCTGCCCCTTCTGCAGGAGGTGCCGCGATACCATGAACTGCCAACGCTGGAGGAGCGAGAGACGGCAGGCGAGGCTGGCCCTAGTCTGGAAGATGAATATTTAGACCAGATCAACCCCATTTATGATGCCCTGTCCTTTGCGGCTACGGAGGAAGATGCAGCTTTGACACCCATGGCCACCGATAAGGCCTTTGTGATGTCCAGAGCTATGTATGTCTAAATTGACCGGCTAATCTTACAGCCACAGTCCAAAAAAGGGGATGCTGCTTAAAAGATATTTTGTGATGGTCCTGAAGAGAAGCTGCTCCTTTTCCACTACATCCTCTTTCGATACCCAGCTCCATTTCGTGGACATCCTAGCTTTCACAGGGGTCTTAGGTGGGCAAGACCATATCTTGCTCAGAAGGGTCTCGCAACTTTGTGCCTTCTGTCCCAATCAAGCCAGAACCAGTGTTTCTTCTTCAACCCTCAGCCTTACAGTACGGTATGCCAAATGTATGCTCTTAACTGCTCAGACTTTCAGTTCCAGATCCTTCAGCAGAGGGCTCCACTGCCATGATCTAGTAGATCCTCCAGCCAAGCCACGCTGCTTCTGAGCCCACAAGGATATTGCCGTCCAGGGAATGTGGTGGAATGCTTGTTAGTCTGTTTACAGTGAGGTGGAAGCTCTCTCAATACCCAGTCTTACTGCAGTGCTGCACGGTGCAAATATCTTGCACCTTCGCCTCCCTGGGCCGCCCATCTCCCCCAGAATTTATCTCCTGCCATGATGCTTTCAAGCTGTCTTGGGGAAAGATTCACATCAGCCAAGTCTAAACTGTTTCTGGACTGCAATGCTGTGAATTGCAGAGAGGAACAAAGTCATCTATAAAAGCTACAGTGATGTCATGGGCATCATCATGTCTTTTGCCCCCTACCTGGGTAAGAGATTGCCTGATTAATCCTAATTCCCGAACACCCCCCTTAAAAAAACATACACACACACACACACACACACTTTTTTTTTTTAAATAACATGCAGAAAACCCACCTGAGACCAGATATAAAGTTTGGGCTAAAAGTCGCCTTTCTAGCATCAAGCTGACCATGCATGGAGAATTTCCAGAAAGGGAAATGTGCATTGATGCAATTCTGAAATAGTGCAGTGCAGAAACAGTGTCATAACACTCCTTCTTTCTCCTGAATTCCAGGAGATTCCACTGTATTGCATGGAGAAGAACTTCTGGAGAAGGCTAAAGGCATGAGAATTATCTGCTAGGGCCCTATGTGTGGTTAGCCATAAGTTACTAAGGGAGAGGGGAGAACTTTACCACAAAGATGCAGCTTTCAAAGGTTTCCCTGGAGGCATCAGCTGATATACTCCAAAGTCTTTTCATGGCACACCTGCCGCTAGGTACTCACTTGACCCTTAGATGAATTTGGGAATTAACCACGTGGTAACATTGTCTGCATATTGCACAAAGGTGGCCAGAAATGATGGGATTTGTACTCCAATACTTATGGAGAGCATCAGAGGTGGGGAGTCTGACCTGGGTGCTCTCTCACTTAAGGATTGGCAGTTCCTGATCCATGGGGAGCCTTCCACATTTCTGAAAGAAGAGCTTGCCCTCGGAGGAGTAAAGTTGGTGTGCCAAACCTTCCTTTCCTCATCATTCTGGCACAGGCTCCGGTCATTACTTGAATTGTGATTCTGCATCCCCAGATCTTGGGCCCTGCTCCGTTCGGGTCGGTTAGGGCCCTCACCCTAACCCTTTGCGTCTTTGGGCTCCTGATCTGAAAATGTGAAAGGTTTTTGGATTGCTGTTTTTAGCTGATATTTTTTAAACTATGTTACTAAATGAGTTGATTTACCATTCCGAGGCAAAGCCTCCTTACACTCTGCCACTGCTGCTGTTTTTCCTAGATGCGGGTACCAATTGGCACTGTGGGATTTTTAATCATTTTTATGATCCTTTTGTACTAGTTGTCACTCACCAATCCTACTAACAATACCTGGATCTCAGGGTCAGGGAATGATTGTCACACGCAAATACCGCATGCCTTTTTTTCCCTACTATCTTTTATGTGCCTTAGTCTGACACTCTTAAGCGGTTGAATTTCAGCAGGGACACAGAGGGGCATTTTTATATTCTGGATGGATGTTTCTTAAAAAAATAAATTTTTCCAAACCCACGTGGCTGCCCCAGTGTGTTCTGTTGGTGGGGAAAAGCAGCACAATTATCACTTTTTATGCATGTCAGTCTTTCCAAACTTGATGCCTTCCAGATGTGGGACCCAAATTCCTGTCCTGCTCAGCCAGCAGGCTCGTTGCATTTGTAGTCCAATACTTCAGGAGCATTTAGGAAGGAGGGTAGCTGAATCCTTGAGGGAAAAAACATTGCATTTTGCCTTAACTTCACGGAATGGAGAGCAGAATAAGTGTGGATCGGAAAGTGTGAGCCTGGGAAAATTACAATATTGCAAACCCGCAAAAGCAGTATCGCTTCAGAAGTCGGTGCGCATCTACTCTGCATCTTCTTGCAAGCCCATTGCGGTTTTCGTGGCCCGAGGGGCCAGAATATCCCAAATTGGGTTTTAGGAGTTAAGCCTTCTCCGTCCAGATGGTTTCCCACTGTGTTGGACGGCTACTCCTAACGGCCAGGCTGGCTGTGAGTGATGGGAGTTGTAGTCCATCGAGTGTACCAGGATGAGGATGGAATGCCTCTACTGTGGACCAGGCAGAGGGTGATGGCCTTGCCCTGAGGACAGGACGCATTAGAAATTGCCCCCCAATGGGGGACCTAGAAACCATCATTTTCTGGGGTGCAGTGAAAGTAGGATTGAAGGGCGCTGTGAAAGTCCCATATAGCGCGTGCGGTTGAAAATCTGAGAGCAGTTGCAACTGAATCAACGGGAGAGAAATTACTCCATAAGGAAAAGCGTATTTAGCCTGGATGCCCCTTCCTAAGAATTGCCTGGAGGAATACAGAAACAGCCTAATTGAGTTTCTATGGAAACCGCCGGAGGGGTGGGGTCAAAAGAATAATCAGCCCACTTCTCTATGGTTTCTGCGAGCTCCTCTGTACTAGAAACTCAATGGTGGCCGCGCTGCACTTTGGGATAGCCACCTGACCTTGCTCCTGATCTTCGCTGCTGACCTTGCTTCCTCAGCTCCGCCTTTTTCTGAGGGAAAGCTCCGAGTGGCGCCCTAATTCCCCTCCGTATGTAAAGCGACCAATGGAAGTGCAGCCCAAGCGCCTCCAGGAGGAAACAGGACGGCCAATCATCGAAGAGAAAACAGATTTATTCCACAATCTGCCCAATCAGAACAGCCTAGTGGGGTGTGACGTTCTAGAAGCCGGCCAATAGAAAGCTACCTTGGGGAAGGAAGCGGTGGGACATGGCGAGGCCTAAGGTCCATGAGGGCTGCATGGTCCCGGGGAAGGGGCGCGGCTGGACGGGCCGCCAGCCAGTAGCGTCCACGCTAGGCTGAGCAGGGGCGGGGCTAAGCGCATCGCGGGCCAATGGCAGCGGCAAGGGGGCGGGGTCTCCGAGCAAGCGTGTTCGGGTGTCTCCCGGCTCCAGCCCTCGCTGCTGCTCCCGCCGCCGCCGCGTGAGTGGGGAGGAACCGGGAGGAGGGTCTGGGCGGGCGCCGCCGGATGGCTGGCGGGAGAGGCGGCGGGGAGGGCCCG